GTATACTATTTCTCATAATGTCTATGAAAACACATAGGATTTTAAGGTGATTAATGATAACATAACTGCTCAACAAGTTTTCAACCATCTGAGGGTTTTTAAAAGAAAGAACACTATCAACTGGGGGGGAAAAGGAGTGAATAGGTGAATATGAATGGAGCCTAATTTTTAGCCACAACCACGGGAAGTTAGTTTGCATCAAATTAATCAGGCACTTAGCAGCTCTGCGGTCATTTACTGAGAACTAGGAACAATTTAACTCAAGTGATTTGTTGTAGATCATCTCAGGGTGTCAATAAGGTGTTTAAAAACTCTGTGAATGCTCATCTATACACAAACCATAATCACATCAAAAGTAAATATAAAGGATTACTCCACTACACAGATTTTTTTTCCTACACAAATTTATTGTCCTTTGACAATTTTCCTGGAACAGCAAAACAGGCAGAGCTCAAATAATCTTTCAATACACCATATGAAAAGGGGGTTTGCTGTCTCAATAAGATAAGTATCTAGAAATTTCCACCTAGATTAAAGACTTTGCACCATACCACCTCTTTGGTAGCTTTCTTGGAAGCTCTGAAGAAGTGAACCTTGCTGTTAATTGTATTTATGCTTATGTGGGAATCTGGATTAATATAAAAAAGAAATTATCTTAATGCTGAATTCAAAGTAGGGCTTCATCTCTCTGTAATTCAGCCTAACAATCATAATGTGATAGACTCATCATAGAATAGTATCTACAATTAACTATTAAATCTAGGTAAAAGAAAGATTATTATTTGTCCTAGTTGAGAATGATAAAATATTACTTTACATTAAATGTATATGACTACATATTCTATTAGAACTAAGCTAATGATGCTTAATATGGAATATGTAAGAAAGTACATTAAATGAATAGTGTGCTTGTATTGGGCTATTTTAGGATAAGTCTGTAGACATTGCCCTCTACCCAATTTCATTGGCCATAAAGAAATACTTTCATCAAAGCTTTTGAACATTGGTGTGGTAGATATAAATTTGAATTAATATCCTATCTTTTTATTGACTAGTTAGTTCTATGACTGAAAATATTAACTTCTTTGAAATCACAATTTCTCCATTTTCAGAAATAAGTAGCATCTATTTCACAGATGGTTATTTTTATGATTAAATGTAACAGTGATACAAAAGTCAAGAAGTCTTGTCTCTGTTCTTATCAACAGTCAATGATGGGAGACAAGCATGGAGGCAAATAATCCCTAAAGGATATGGTGACTGCTGTATCAGAATAACTTCAGAACTCTAAGAGATTACCCAGGAAGGATGGGTGAATTACTACTGGGGATAAAGGAGAAGTTACACAGAGTTCTTCACATAATAAAGGATATGATCAGAGAAGTAGAATAAGAGCACAAGAGTAGCCAAATAAAGGGAGTCATATAATGTGAATGAGGAGCAGATTTTCAGGCAGTGATAGGGACAAATGGATGAGAATGACAGGTGAAGGTCAGGGCTAAAGTACAGGGGGCCTACTAGGTCTTCTAAGGTCTTTGACTTTACATCATATAAAATAGAGGGTCAGGGGTATATTGCTTAATTGTGGAAAGGGGTATAATGCTTTTTAAAAGATACTCCCGGCAGCAACCTGGAAAGATGAAGAAAACTGCCACCATAGCTAATAGCCAAGACCAGAAATAATGAGAAAATTATAAACAGCCATATAAAATATTAGGGTCAAAAAACACTTTCTTAAAATTTAGAAATACACCAAAAAAAGGGGGGAAACAATAAAATGAATTATATGACAAAATGCACTAAATGCAAACAAAGCCATACTCACAGACAAAAGCTTTGTCTTACTTATTTTTAATAAGCTAATTATTTACCTGGAGAAATTAGAAAAATAATTGAGTTTAAAAAATAAGAGTAAAAATAAATTTGAAACAAAAACTAAAAAATGAAATAAATCCAGAAAGTTATAATTTTAAAATAATAATAATATTAATAAATCTCGAGAAAATCTTCAAGAATAAAAGATAAAATAATGAGTAAATAAAATTAAACATGAAAAGTGCACACTGTCTGGGGTGTAGGCACACCTGTAGCTCTGACTCTGGTGGGGCAAAGGCAATATATTTAACCTAAACATTTGAACCTCTGTAATATTCTGTAATAAAAAAAAATAAATGAATGAATGAATAAATAAAATTTAAAAATTTTAAAAAGGTGGTTCTGATAACAAATGAAATTTTTTTTAATTACCAGTGAATTAACTGCAAAATTCTATGTTAAGATATTAGAAAAAAAATGATGAATAGACAATATTCTGAAAAAAAAGTGTGAAATCTCAAAATCGACTCAAAGGAAAACAGAAAACTAAAAAGAACAACATCCAGGTAAGAAAAGCTAACATCTATGAAAATATTAATTTTTTAAAGGATTAGAAACAGGCGATTTTACTAAGATGCTCATTATATCTTTAAAGTAATATTTGATATCAATTATTACCAAAAGTTTAGCAAACTGATGTACAGAATATATATCTACAAATAAATAACCAGCATACAGATAACAAGCAATTAGAAAATGCAGTGGAAAAAATATTTCAATAATAATATCTACCAAAAAACATATCTAAGAATGATCTTAATAATAAATATATGGCCCTGTAGAAAGTATACTCCCAAACCTTCCAATATATATTCAAAGATGTGAAGAAATCATTCTATAGGCACCTGGTGAGAGGAAGAACAACAGGAAAGAAATTCAATTGTGCCAAATCTACCCACGTAGAAATAATATTACATGAAATTCTTAAATTATTGAGAATAGAAAATAGTTAGAAATGATAATATTTTACATAGTGTTAAATATGAGCCATGCACCTTTATATAGATTACCCATGTAATCCTCATATCTATCCCATGAAGTACAAACTATGCTTTTCTGCATTTTCTGCATGAGGAAAAAACAAAAGCTCAGAAAAGGAAATTGTCCAAAATCATATAGCTAGTAGATTTTGGAACTAAGAATTAAATACAGATAGCAAGACTCTAAAAGCTGAGTTCTCAGCTGCTATAATATTCAGTGTCTCAATTCCTAACATCCAAAAATTGGAGACCCATTAAATAAATTAGCATGTGTGTGTGTGTGTGTCTGTGTGTGTATTTGAAAATGAAAAATGCTTAGATATATATTAAGTTAAAAAGGAATAAATAAAACATTAAAAATACCATCCAAATTTTATTATTTTTGCCTATGTGCATATTTTTGCCTGTGTGTACAGAGTGCTTTAAAAATGGACAGAAATATGTAAAAAATATTAATCATGGTTTAGAAGTAATATTTTGTATAATTTTGATTTTTTATACATTCCAAATTTTCTTTGCCAGGTATTATATGTATAATAATAAAATAAACTATAAAGCTGATTTTTAAAGTAAGTATGAATTAAGTTAGTGACCATAAGATAAAAAGTTGTTTAAAAGAATATTTTACTTAATTGAGATATTCAGACATAGGAAATTTCCTCCCTTTAATCTTCTGAAAATACATGAAACCAACTAAGAGCCAATCATGAAGCAAATCTAAACTATCCCTTCCTCCCAGTCCAACTCCCTATTGCATCTTTCTCCCATTCCTCCAAACATATATGATAATACAAGCTAATAGGGATTAAAGTTGGATATATAATACTTATTTTTACAGGAAAATCCCAGATAGTCACATATTTACACATTTCAAATAGTACAAAAACTTTAAGTCTTTTATTGTTCAATTAGTATACAAGAGTCAGCAAATTGTGCATCAAGCTGTCCAGTTACAAATTATATAACCGTAGGTGCCATGGCTTTTTCTAGCACATTTCTCCAACATAAGAAATAAAGGAAAATAAAGCAAATTTTAAACTTTTAAATTATTTTATACATAAATGAAAATAACAAATAAGCTACAGTATTTTATCTCTTTGTTCAAATACTTGAGTGTTTTATTTTTAAAAGCTTAAATTTTTATCTAGTGAACATACCATTATGAAGAGAGTTGATTTAAGCTTCCCTTCAGTATTTTACCTATTACAAACACAACCCCCTCTCCCCCCAGAAAACATGGATATTTAACTGTATCATTATCTGTTTGGGTCTCTCTCCCAAGGTCTGCTTCTTTTAACTCCCAGGTCTCAAGTTATACCTGGAAAACACAAATTTTACTCCAGTTATAGAATTCTACATAGTGAACATATCAGTGCCAGCCTCTGTCTGCAACCACAGCCACTTTCAGCTTTCGGTTTTTATTTAAAAGGCTTAATTGGAAGTTTTTATTACTCCCAATTAGGCTTTTTAATTAAAAGGAAAAGTTGAAAGAGGCTGCAGGCAAATACTGCTGAAACCCATAACAGCATAAAATCAAAGGAAATAAAAACAAAATTACGCTACTGTAAAACAGCGATACAGGCACAGCTTTCAATAATGTTTACCTCTGGTCACATTTAATGTTATGGTAGCACATTGACAGTGATGAAGTAGACATGACTGATTGAAAAAACCAGACTGTATCTAATGTAACGATAAAATTCATCAAAATGATACTTACAAGACCACATTAGCATTCAAGGCAAAAATCTACCAAAGTGCACAGTTGACAATTCAAGTAGTTAGCAACTCTAATTCACCCACATGGCACTAACTCCACACACTAATGCAGGCTCTTAAAGCCTCTTTGGCAAGCAGAATACTACATTATAAACAATGTGGGTAAGTATTTATCATTGTAGGATGATTAGCTTTTTAATTCCATGAAGAATATTTTTTTTTCTGTATGAAGCTTTAACTTGTCATTATTGTCAAGTTTTGCACTATTGATGGTTTTTTAATTCGAAATGAAATCAGAGGTTGTATTCACTATATTTTTGGCATTTTTAAAATTCCATGTAATATCATCAGAGCAAAAAGAGCTTCTTATATAAAGGTGAGCCCATCATCAAAGGTAATAGGAATATGTAGAGATATTAGATCCACACCAGAGACAATTTCATACCCAATAAACTTGGCTATTTATCCTGAATTTTATAAATTATACTGAGTCAGAAGAAGACATTTAAAATAGCTCACATATATATTGTGATACTGAAGTTATTTCTTTACATCTTAGCTTTCCAACTCACTGCATTAATACTTGCCCTCAAATCATACTACCAAATTTTTGGTAAAAACATATACATGTCTATGTAGAGGCAATGAATTTTAGTATGGCATTAAGGCTGCAGGAATCCTTGTTTTTTATGTCCAGTCATGCAAGGAGATCATATTTTGCAATTTGAAATTTTGACTGAAAGGTAATGCAGATGTAATGCAGCCCCTCTGCCTTTTTCTAGAGATAATAATATTGCATAATCTGTTTCACAAAGAGACACTATAGTGTAGACTGAGTGGGGGAGGAGGATGGAAATGGAAATCTGTTTGTGTCATGGACTATAGTCCTTAGTCTTCCTGCCGTGACTTCTGCCCTCCACAATCCATTCTCTGCATGACAAATTTTCAGAAAACATAAATTATTTTGCATCATTTTCTTGCTCTACAAACACTTTTATGGCTTCTTACTGTGGCTACAATATAGCCTGAGCTCTCATGTATGGCCCTACCTTGTCTGACTCTTGATTCCAACCTCATCTTGAGTCTTCTTCCTAGCTTACTTTCTTCAGCTACTAAGGTCTTTTTTAAGTTCTGTGGACATAGCAACAAGTTCTTTCCTTCCTTGGGGCATGAGTACATGCCCTTTTCTATGCCTACCAGTCTTTCTCCCTTCCCAGAAGCCAGCTTTTTCTACGCTTCTCAATTTAAACATCATCTCAGTGTAAACATTACCTCTTCAGGGAAGCCTTCCCTAACTATTTAAAGTCCATCATGGTTACTATCATAATTTTATCACTATTTATCATGTTTGTATATAACCCATAACCCTTACCATAATTGTGATATTTGGTTGAACATTTACATATTTTCTTTTTTAAAAATGTCTTCAACAAGAGCATGGCCCCTAAAGGCAAGAAACTTGACTAACTCATGTATCAATTAACACTTGTATCCCCATAATACGCTAAAATAAAAATAAATTTAAAAAAAATACATATGAACTAAAGCCAAAAGAAAAAAAAATGTTCTTTAATTGTTGTAGTGATTAGTTGTCAAAACTTATCAACCTATACACCTAAGATGGGTGCATTTTACTTAATGTAAACTCTAACTCAATAAATTTTATTTGAAAAGAAAAAATATATCTATATTCCACCAGCAACCCAGCACCTAGGCCCATGCCTGGCAGCTAGTAGGCACTCTATAAATGTTTTTGAACCAATACATAAATAAAGAAAGAATGTATGAATGCAAAGTGTTAAATGGTTCCTTTCATGTTGCTAGTAACAAAGGCACCTCATGTGTTATAAAATTATTATAATAAGGTAGTAGTGAATACCAACAGCTCTAGCCATTCAGTAGTATTCTGATCAGCTAAGAAATATTCATAATGCCTCTAGCCAGACATGTCTCATTCTAAACAAGGACTGACTCCTATATTGTCTGTGTAGTTTGGGATTTGTGTGTGTTTTGGGGGGAAGGGCGTATTTTTGTTTATTTATGTTCTAATCCTAGAGTTTCTTCTCCCCTCTCCTTCCCTTTGACCCATACTTAAAAAATCAGCCCATTGGTTTATTCTAAGCTTTAAGTATAAGAGGCATCACTTAATTCTATAGAATACATGTTCCACAGTTGAGAATGAAGAAGTATTCTACTTGTCAAAGCTAATTTCCCACCAACTCACATCATAAAATGGAAAACAAAGTAGAACAAAGTAGGAATTTAAAAGTAATAACAAGAGAAAAATGTAGAATGAAAAGCAGTTGGAAGAGAAAAAGGGAACCAATTCAATACCGTAGCCATTAAGATAAACAATTGGGAGTGGGGGTGTTAGGGAGCATATTCCTCAACTATCTTCACTAAAGGCTAATCTAGGAAGTAGAAAGAAAAAAGGCAAGTTTCATGACACCACCAGCCTATGCTTTTGTATCTCCTGCTTGGAGAATACAGAAATTATCTAGAGATGCATCTGAGCGCCTGCAGCCTCTTGGGAGAACTGCCCTTCCAAAATGGAGAGGTCAGCTGGGATTAGATCTGGGAGACTGAAAGAAGCATGAAACTGTTAAGGCTTGAGACAATCTTAAAAGCATTCTCCTACCTTAGGAGAGAAAGCTGAAACAAAGGGAAATATAGCCAGGCATGTAAAACACTCACGTCGTCATTATTCACTACATAAAACTACATTGTAACAGCTGTGTCATTCACTTCATTTTGTACACCAGAGACTTAGGATCAGATAGGATAAATAATTTCCCACAAGTAAGACAGTTAACAAGTGCCACAGCCAGGGTATACACAGACTTCTCTATCTCCAAAGCGCAATGAGTTATTTTCAATTCAGGCAGAAGGAACCTTCAGACCGTTTGCTTTTTACTTGTTCCTCTGAACTGTTTCTTTGGTTTTTGGTATTTGATTTTCTGTTTTGTTTTGGGTTTTGCCTCAATACACATCTGTGCTGTCTACTTTAGAATATTTGCAATATTTTCTGGAGCCAAACCTTAACATCACTGGCCGTGGTTAAAGAGATCCGGGACCTTTGCTGCTATTTTGGGTTCTAAGCTGAGGTTGAAAGAAGGAGTAGTCAAAGGGAATTGCACAAGAAGCAAAATGCACAGAGATTAAGGGCTCTAGCTCCTAAGTCAGATAAACCTGAGCTTTAATCATAGCTCTATCACTAGGCAGCTGTATCCTTAAACAAAAAACATTATTGCATTAATTTTCTACTGTTGTCATAACAAATTACCATAAATGTAGTGTCTGAAAACAACACAAATTTATTATCTTACAGTTCCAGAGGTCAGAAGTCTGACACAAGCCTCACTGAACAAAAATTAAGTGATTTATAGGGATATATTCCCTTCTGAAGGCTCTGAAATAGAATCTATTTCCTTACCTTTTTCAGTTTCTGGAGACTGCCTGCATTCTCTCATGAGTCTCCGCATGACTCATGGTCCCATTTCCCCATCTGGAAAGCCAGCGACATTGCATCTTTTTGATCCTTCTTCCATCATCACATCTGTATGTTTGACTATAGACAAGAAAGGTTCCCCTTCTTTTAAGGACCCGTGTGATTCAACTGGACCCATCCAAATAAACCAGGATGCTCTCCCCAACACAAGGTTCTTAATCACATCTGCAAAGTCTCCTTTACTAGACAAGACAACAGATTCACAAGTTTCAGAGATTAGGACATGGATACCTTTAGGGAAGTTACTGTTCTGCTTTCCATAATTATCTTTCTGAGTCTCAATTCTTGCACCTGTAAAACAGGAGAAATAATAATTCCTACTCTATAGGGTTGGGAGGCTGAAATGTGAGTACACACACAAAGTGGTTGGCTTAGTATCTGACATATAATTGTGACCTTAAAAATGTTAGCTACTGTCATAAATAATAACCAGTTCCTGCAATCCACACTCATTTCTAGCAAAATCTACTTCTTATGACCTACAAAATGGTCAGGGTCATTGATTTTGAACTCTCCTCTATCCTAGATTTTTCCCTATATTTTGCAGAGGACAAAGTTTCCTATTTCTGTAGGTTTTAGCTTTAAACCTTTCATAAGCATTTGTCTCCCCTTCAAATAAACAGAAGAGGTGACACCAGGGGTTATACCTGCACAAATGACATTTTCAAAACTGCCACTCACTAACAGGCCCCAAACCCCTGCAAAACTTCTCTTATGACCATTCATGGTTACTTTTCAATCTAAATAAACCCCACACTGAAATTCATCACAAACACTCACATGTCTCTTTCTCCAAGGCCCAGGGCTGCAAGTGGTGAGGCAGCTGGCCAATCACCTGCTGCTTTCAGAGGTCCTGGCGTTACAGTATAACCAGATTGTCAAGGTTCACCTGGAGGATTACCTGCTAAATCACAAGTTTAAAGAAAACAATTTGGAGTTACCCAAGAGGAAACAACACACTTACTTATCTCCAGACTCTCCACACAGACTGTATTAAATTTTCCATAACCAAATTTACTGCAGGGCTGAGAACAAGCATGAGATATTTCTGCTGAAAGTTTTTGATATTTCAAACTGCCTTTTTAAAAAGAAGCTTAAAGCATAAGTGTAATTCCTTCTCTTTGGCAAAACTCATTTTTTCCATTTGAGAAAATTGCTTTGCCATCTAATTGTTCTAGAGTGCAATGTAAAAGTAAGTTCAAAACACAGGACCTAAATTAAACCAGATAATACCTTCACTGTGAAGATTTTGTAAACACCGTATTTGATATCATCAAACTGCTCAAGAGCACTTTTAGCACCAATTTCTATGACATTTTTAAATCAATAAAACAGAAGTACTCAAACTAGTGGAGGCGAAAAGAAATAAAAGATAGCATAAAAGTTCCTTTCTTAATTTCTAAACTAATTATATATTCAAGTATAGTAATTCCTGAGCCAAAAAGGCAATGAACTGTTAGAGAACTACTTACCATTTTTCCAACACTTGGTTATCACTGCACTAGGTATATAACATAGGAATTTAGAAAACAAGTAGCATTCAGCCATATAGATTTGTTGTAGTCACCATTCACAGATGCTAAAAAAGAAAGTATATTTTGTTTGAAAAGGGCACCTCAATTCCCATCCCTGCCCATCAAGTGAAAGGGAAAATATATGAGGATATCAACTCTAAAATGTCAGCATACTAAGTAGGGTATATAGCTGGTGTTTCTTGATGTGAAAGGGAAAGATCTCGGTGAATGCTATTTGAAAGTCCATCTGCCACAGAGCTATACTGTACTTCCCTGTGTTCTATAAAGCTGCTCAGAGGGGATGCTCTAAGTGCTGAGGCGCTATCTCAGTACATCGCCCCATCATCACCCACAGCTGTTCATGGGAGTGCCAGAGAGAATTGGATGCACTAAAGAAAATGAATTTGGAAATAAAATAGAAGACCTTCAGAATTTAAACAAGAAAAGAGAAAGAACTAAAGCAAATGATACGGTTACCTTATCCCACGAGACAAGCACGCATGAATGAATGTTATAAGATTTTTTACTAAGCCTAAACATAACTACGAAACATACAAAGGGTCTAGATCTTTTGTTGTCGCTATCAAAGGGGGAAATGAGCTAGTCCAGAGTGACAGTGCTAGAGGGAGATAATGAAAGCTTGAAATTGAAATGGTGATAAACTCTGTGTACAAGACCTGCAGATGAGATGAATATTTATTAGAGCTACATTTCAAATTCTACTAAAGAGTTCATAGCACCTTAAAGAATAATTTTAAAAGCGCTCATCTCTTTATTTCAAAAGAAAAGGAAGAAAAAAGAATGTAATCTACATGGACGAATCTGAATTCATGAATGGTAATATTCAACAATATCTTAACATGTTTCTCAAACCAAAGAACCCCCTCCCTAATCACTTCAGAGACTTAACAAGCTGACATCAAACTATAAACAGGATCATTGCACACACAACGATATCACAGCCACCTCTGAGGAGAAAGGGGAGCAACATAACATAGTTTAAAAGTGCATGTGAAAAGGAAAGTGCAACTGAACTACCTAGAGTCTATGAGTGAACATCATAAGATTAATAATGTGTGAAATTTAGTCAAAACCCTGCTGCCCATAGAAGGTATTTCAGCTTTTCTTAGAATGTTAAGATGACTGGAAACTTTTAAAGACAGGATACCATCATTTGAAATGGATTCTTTTTTTAGAAAGATGGTTTTGATGTATCGCTACACAGCTACAAAAGTAAACAGGCACCTAAGTGCAACAAGGACTCTCAGGAAGACACATTTCAATATAGACCTGGCCAAGTGTAAGACTGGAAAATATATTGAGGTTTGATTTGATGGCTGTCTCAGGAGGGAGAAAAAAAAAACAAAACAAAAATAAATCCTCTCGCATTGTATCAACAACAAGATGGTGGCATTTGGTTTTGTGTAAACAATAGAGTGATTACTTGTAGTATAAATCTCGTTAATCTCTCTTATTATATCACTGATAATTTGGACTAAACTTTAAAGACCACAAGTGTGGTAATTTGAGACAGCATAAAAAAATCTACCTAGTGAAATCCAAAACTTTCATTTGTTTTCCCTTAATCATCTGGATAATTTGTCAAAAACATCGCCCCCTTCTATGCCATCTTTTTAAATAACTCTGACCAAATAAAGTTGATTCATTTGTAAATCATGCCTTGGCCACCATTGCATATTAATCTATCACCCTATTTTACAGAACAGAGACATCAAAATGTTACACTAGATTTTAATGATATAAAATGATGGGAGAAACACATCAGAAGGCAAAATATACTTTTGTTTTTCTTTCATTTTAGCCAGTTTAGAGAAAGACGAAAAAAAAAAAAAAGATTATCTTACTAGAGTTTTTATTTTTACTTTTTATTTATTTATTTATTTTTTTGGTTAATCTCCCAAAAAGGTAAGTTAGTGCTTTTAATACTGCTTTGATTTCAAATAAATATCTGAAAATGAATGCCTGGAGTTAGATTAGTGCCTCTTCAGTATTCATCACTATTGCTAAAGCATGAAGACTAAAAATAAAATGAAATGAAATAGGAAATAAAACTATGAAAGCAAAATGGACACATTTTTTAAAAAATCTTGGCATTGATCATCTTTCCCCAGGCATTATTTCATTCTACAAATCGTGATGATCACAAAACAGTCACATTCTTGTAGCACACATTTATCTGGCACCATTTTGTAGTTGTTTCTACTTTGTAACCTGAGACACTCACACTTAATGGACACCAGAACCAGCTGGGGAACTTATTAAAAGTTAAGGTTCCTAAGACTCAGAAGATTCTGACGCAATAGGTGCAGTTTGGGGTCCAGCAATTTTCAAGCACTCCAGGTTAGTTATCATTCAGAGGATCCGTGGATCATACTTAAAGAAACACCACATACAGGATGTGCTCTGTGTCTTTTTCTACATACCCAAAGAAAAAGAAAAGATTTTCTGCATATCCCCTATACCCCAAAAAGGCAGAAATTCATTGCAATTTTGCCTCACTTCCCACTGTATGAATGAGGCTATTGCCACTATTTAGTCACCTGGCCTAAACTGAACCTTCTGGTGACAAGTCCTCTGTATCTCCAGAAGTAATTCATTCCATCTTTGAACAACTCTGACTGTTCTCTTCGTCCTATATTTGCATACAGGTGTTTGTTCTAACCTTTGGAACCGTATTCTAGAATGGCTATTTTCTCCCCCATACTGACAGTGTAGGCACAGAGTAGATGGTCCCACCCAAAGGTTGGTAAGGAAAAGAAACTCAGCAAACGTGCCCTGGAGATTCCACGACATGACCCATTCTTGGAGAGGGTTGGGGGCTGAAGGAGGTTAAGCTATATGAGATTTTGGTAAAACCACATGTCATTTTAAAAGGTATAGAAAATGAGAACAGAGAATGGAAACACCAAAGGAGAGATTATTTTTTCTGAAAATATAAGAACACATGAAAAAATAAATTCAAACAATATGGATGTTAAGTGTAAAAATGCAAGGTCTTTTTTTGCAGAGTATACCCTCCTATTGTCCTAAAACAGGAATTTCAACATCTTTTATTTTTATTTATTTTACTGGCTTCCATCACCACATTGTACTTCTATATCTCTCATTATTCACAAATGCCTGACAATGCCCACTATTTCTTCACCCAGAGTGATAAGGAGTTGGTAGACATACCCTGCCTTCCTCCTCCTCTCTCCCCCTACCTTATATTATTAATTCAAGTTACCCTAGTGGATAAAGTAATGCTTATGACTTTAATTTATGTGGTTAAGTTTATTACTCTGAATTAATCATTATGGGTAGCATCTGAAGAAGCTATAAAAATAAGGAAATTAATATATTGCTCTTTTCTAAAAATATATTGTTAAAAATATTTTCTTAATCACTAACTTATGCGTTAGGTGACTGACCTGAACCAAATCCATGGAATCATTCTCTCTTCTATTCAAGGCAGTAGTATTATCGATATACTATGGTGCATTATTACATTTCTAAAACCTTACATTTAACATAATTATGAATTTTTAGAACACATATACACTAGACTGATCCACCTTATGCAGTATCATCCCAACAGAAACTCCTACCTTCTTGTAACTTTAATAAATGATTTTAACACATGTTTTTTAAAAATGTGATTTTTAACTAATACAGCAAAACTGCAATTTGTCTCTGAAGAGTTGATGCTCTATCTTGAAGCTTCCTGGTATTATATTCTATTTCAGCCTTATAAAAACCCTTCTTTATATGACAGGCTCCTTGACTTCTAATTGTTTCATTGATATCACCCAAGAGTAATAAAACATCTATTGCAAAGAAAAAAATCATCAACTAATATCCTAGAACAAAGCCAGTCTATCAGTTCTGAAAGAATGATTTCTTCCAAACAATGTCATTGGGTTAATCTTGGCTGGAGAATAAATGACAGACAGAAAGTTATTCAAAACCTAACATATAATGAAAGAAATGTCAGAGTCATAAGCAGGTAGTTAATGAATCACAACGGTAAAAGGTAATGAATGGCATTGTTGTAAAATGGTAACAAACCACAATGGCCAACTCACTTGTCAATCATAGTACTATTATGTCCAATGGGAGTGTGGTCATTGTGTTGTTGTTTTGAACAATAACATAGGCAGTGAATCAGAAAGCAAACAGCACTACAACTACAAACCAAAGAACAATTTTTACAAGAATTCTATGCCATATGCAACTAGAGAAGTAGTTGTTTTTTTCTACCACACTTCTACTACACATAGAGCAATCACTTCTAATATCTATGTGAAGGCTAATTTTGTAGCCAAGGTTTGATTTTCCTGGAATTGATTCTTTAATTTTTCTAGTAGAAAGACAGAAAGTTACTGTCTTTTAGAAAACATACAGCATTAATAAATTGTACAGTGCCCTTAAAGAATGTAAGGCCTTTTGGAAAAATGCAAACCTGTATACATATTTATAACAATATGCATTGTTATAGTGATATCCATAATGATATCCATAAATAAATGTATCTTAAAGGAGAAGGCTACTTAATACCAAAGTGATTATTAAGAAATTAATAAGATATAACATAGCATGCTATCATTACATTAAACTTAAACAATGTGAGATTAAAAATAAAAGCCAACAACAAAATCAAAAAGTTCATGAATGCCCATCCAATGGGTATGATGGAGAGAGGAAAAATCACATTAGCAAACAAACAGCCAAGTCATGTAGCATAGGAAGGATGAAAGTAAAACTCATACTTAATAAAAGAATCCTAGTTAAGTCCAAAATATTTTACAAAACAAAAGGAAACACTTTTTAAATATAAATTAGATGGAATATGTGAGCTACACCATTTAATGGTAAATCAGGCAGAAATGAAGAAGTAGGCTTAAAGTTTTTATAAATTGTTGGCTGTGTAGGCAGAAGATAAGATTATAATAATCAAATTTTTGAAGTTAAATAATAGTAACTTTAAATGTGAAAAATCCATTAAAAATATCCACACTCTGATGGTTTGGGATTAGCTGCTATGTAAAGAAGAACGTCTTGATTA